AAAAGCTAAATTAAAAATAGCAATACTAAATATAAAAGAACTTAATAACAAAAACAAACAACAAAATCTACTAACTTTTTTAAAATTATACAAATTAGATATAATAATGCTTCAAGAAACTAATTTTAATTATAAGAAAAAAACAAGAATTCTTCAAACAACAATGGATTTACAATTCAATTTGAACTAAAAAATAGCAATTTTAGCAGAAAGCAAAAATATCAAATTCAAAAACACTTAAATAAGTTATAAAGAAAGAATAATAACAACAGACTTTGTATTTAAAAAATATTTTTTCAAAATAACAAATGTTTATACACCACTAAACATTAGTAACAGAATAATCTTCTTTAATAATTGAAAACTTCAAATCAAAGAAAATAATATAAACATTATAGCAAAAGATTTTAATATTAATCTAAATCCCAAAAATAATAAAATGAGTTAAGCAACAGCCCAACTTGACTCAATAAAGACTCAGCTCTTCAATTTAACAAAAGAATTTATTAATATAGCAAAATATTAAGCACTAAGTTCTTTCTAACTTTTTTTTAAAAAACACAAAATAATTACTTAATGACTACATGCTTAGACTACATTTTTATAGATAAAAATTATAATCATCTTATATTAGAAATTAGTATATACTTTGATAACTCAGACCATCTTCTAGTAAAATACACACTTGAGTTCAAACAAGATTCTAAACAGCCTTTAGCCTAAAGGTTCAATAAAGAACATTTAATATTCTGATTTTAATTATTAATAAATAGTTGGAATAGTTAGTTTTTGTATAATAAATGTTCTTGTAAGGAACTATTTACATTTCTATAAGAATGGTTTGCTTTTATTTTGTCTTTTTTTTTACTTTTTGTTTTCTGCTTTTTGTAAGTAACAAGAGTAAATGATGCATCTTCTTTCATATCTTAACTCTGTTCTGAGTTATTTGTCTTATTAAGGAGATCTGCTTTTATATTCTTAATAATAAACTTGGCATTATAAAGACTATCTATTGGTTTTACTTCTCTATCTAATGTGGACATTTCTAGATCTTCTATTTCTGTGTTTGTAGCTTCTGTGCCAAGATTTTTCTCTTGTTCTTCTTCTGCATTTTTGTCAATATATAGTTTATCTTTGCTAAATTCTGGTATTGTAGATGTGCTAGTATTCTGAATTCCTGTCTGTTTTCTTAGTTTTTTGCTTCTTTAAGCATTCTTCTAACTTCAATTAAGGCTTTAAGCTCTGCACAATCTTTTTTAATATACTCTTTTCTTTTGCAGTAGAAGCAGATTTTTGAAACTTTCTTCTAATCAGTAGTGTAGATGTATATGTCTTAGAATTCTTATAAACAGCTCTAGGTTATTTGTAGTCTCAAAAGTGATTAGCCATTAGTCTGAACAGACTGTTGTTTCTTTAAAAAATAATAGTTTGATTGAAGCTATCTGTCCTATATATTAAAATGTCTTTAGAATTTTATTACTAATTAATTTTATATCTTCTATTGGCATGTTTCTAAATTTGACAGTTAGAAAGAATTGGTTTAAGTTTACTAAAATATAACCTAGTAGGGTTTGTTTAAAAAGTACAATTCCTTCTGCAGCATAAAACTATACTTATTCTTTATTTTTTAGCACCACTTCTAGTAATGTTCATTTGCTTTTAGCTATATAAATTTTGGCTTCAATAAGATTTTTACTCAAACTTGAAGTAAAAGCTGCAATTATATTGTTATTGAAGATGTTGTTTAAGCTTTGTATATTAATAATTAGTGCATTCTTATTTTTAGAGTATATTTTATATCTAGGTGAGTAGTTTGTAAAAGTGGCTTTTTTACCTTTTAGTTTAGAAAACAAATTAGACTATTGTTTTGGCCTTATCCTTTTGTTTTCAATTTCTTCTTTGTTTGTTTTTGTGTATCCTTGAAATGTCATATTAGTAGAACCATTTTCTGCAACTTTGTGTTTTCTTGTTTTTCTGTCACATGTGTTTAATTTTTGTTTTCTGGTATATGTTGCATATGTTTTTGGTTATTGTTAGCTATTACATTCTGTATATGTTTTTTTGTCTTTTCAACTTTGTGTTAATTGTTATTTTCTAATGCTTGCACTTTCTTTTGGTTGTTATTTGCATCTTGTTGACTGTTAGTTGTTTTAGTATGATTGAGTATATTTCTGCTTTTTCTAAAGAGCTTTGGTTTTTCTTTTTCTCTACTTTTAGATCCTCTTCTATATATAAGGCCCAGTTTGTGAAAGCTTCTTTAGTTGCTAAACTAGTAAGAACCTCAGATTTGTTTTTGACTCTTGAAATATTGTTTGCTTTTGTTACTATAAAATTTTTTTTATTTTCTTTGTTTTTTTATATTCAGTAAAACTAAAGGTTCTTTTTTTAACTATATCAAGTCTGACTTTCTTATATTGTAACTTCCTTAAATTTACAAATAGTTTGCACTTTTTTGGAGTAAAAGTCTTTACTTTACTTGAGTTTTGAAAAATAACTTTTATTTTTTATAATGAAATTTTTGTATTTGCTATATTTCTGATAATGAACTGAAAAAAGCTATCTCTTAAGCTGATTTTTTATTATTTTTAATTTTTAAATTGTCAATTATTAATTAACACAAATTAAAAAAAATGCTATTATAAGATATATTAAATTTACTAACAAAACTGCATGCCTTGAATGTATATCAGCTTTGTAGTGCAGATTTCCTAAACTATGAATTAGATTTTAAGATCAGATAAAATATAACATAATTAAGAAAATTTAAAATAAATGTTTGTTTTGTTAAAATCATTTTAATTTACCTTTAGTGCTCTAACAAAATTTTTTGTTAAGCAATTTTAATATATAAATTACTTTCTTCTAATTTATAACTCTAACATATGAATTTTTGCTATGCCATAAACCTGGCACACCTTTATGATATATAATGAAACTTAAGTATAATAAAATTTTTATATATTACATTTTTGCATATAACTAATATATTCAAAATTTTGCAAGATATATTAAATTTACTAACAAAACTTGAGTATATTAAAATTTTCTTTTTACAAAATTAAGATTTAGTACTACAATTTGTTTTTCAGCAATTGCAAGAATTTGTGCAAGTTTTTTGATCAGAATGCAATCCAAAATTTTCAAAAACAGTCAGCATTATACAAAATTATACAAATCATAAAAATCATTTTGAATATAAAAAAAAAGCTTAAAAAATATAAAAAATGGTTGTCTAAGTCTATCATAATACTAACAAAACATGTTAAGATGCAATTTTATATATAAAAAAAAGAATACACACCTAAATTTAATAAAAACAGCCTATTTCTAATACTAATTAAATAAGTAGTTCTGACTACTATCTGGAAAATTTGTACTACACTCTGATGCAGTTTACTTGAACTATTATTATTTAAACTGTTTACTTTAATTTAAATTATATTAAAATTTTTTTTATTTACTTATTTTAGAAATATATTAATTAAGCATTCTTTCTTGCATATTCTTGAGTTGAGTTGAGTTGGGCATTCTTTTGTTGAGTATTTTTGTGATAGCTGTTCTTGTGTTGAAAGAATTGACCTAGTCATTTATCAATTGATGTAAATTAAAAAATAGCAAGCATCAATTAATAATTAATATAAATTAAGAAATGATATATAACAATATATAAATTAAATTAACTAATTTTCTCAATTTCTATTAAATGAAGCTTTTAATTTAATAACATAACTTAAATAACAGCAGCATTATTAAAACAGTATAAAGGTTTAATAAAGTATATATAATAAAAAAATTTTGCAATAACTTTTTTTGTTAGAACATAAATAATAGTTTTGTAAACCAATTTTGTTATTATCAATTTATGAAAAACTGATTTATTTTAAAATTAATCAAAATTCTAATCTAAACTTTAAATTGTTATAAATAAAAAAACTAATCTGTAACTATATTTATAATAATAAAATTAATAGCAGCAAAAGTTTTTATTATGCATAATTTGCTGAGTTCAATTGATTTACTGTATCTGTAAGTTAAACATTTAAACATACTATATATTAAACATTCAAACATACTATATAATTTTTAAATTACTTTGCAGGTTACTAAATTACTTTTATAGTTTATAAAACAAGATATCAAGTATTGCCAATTCATATTAATAACTTTTCTAATCTATTATTTAATTACAGAAATTGCCTATTATGCTAATTTTTGTGCAGTTCTGATCATATATTTGTTATATATATTATGTAATAACATTTGTCTAATTTATGAACTTGGTCTCAAATTATTAAATGTTTAAAAATCTATTTTTTTTTAAAAAAAAAGAACAAACCACAGATTTTAAAATAAAAAAACATGACTTAAAGAAGAACAAGACCAAAAACACCATCTCATATTCATTAAGCCATATGATATAAAACCTTTGAGCTTAAGAAAACTTCCAAAAATTAAAGAAAAAAAAATCTTAAAAGCTCAGTGTCATTAAAAATTACTATAAAAAAAGTTTTTTCAGTACACTTTTGGTAACAATACAAAAATAGTGAAATTTTACAAAAACTAAATAAAACTTTTTTTTAAACTTCTCTAATAGGGCTAAAGCCCTTATATTCAAGAAAAAAAGAAAAAAAGACTTTGACTTGTCATCAGAACAAGAAAAAACTTCTATTATAGAAGCAGAAGCAGAAGCAGTAAGCATATTATATTCACCAAATAGTAAATCAAATAAAAGCAATAACTAAAGTAATAGAAGCTAAATCAGTAATATAAAACAAGAAGAAAACCAGTTAGTAAAGGCAAACAAAAGCTACTTCTTTTACAAGTAAAAACAACAATATAAAAAACAGCAAGACACATGCAGTAGTAAATACAGAAAACAATAAACAAACAGATACAGAACATATGCATATTACATATAACAAAATTGATATACAAAACAACATTATTGATAGTACAACATCAGATAATATAAATAACAAACCAGCTAACTATAAATCCAATCAATAATCAAATTTATTCTTGAAACTGAAAGAAGACAAGGCAACCTTTTCTAACATAGCACTCAGATCTATTTCAAGAATAAAAATACTCTTGTTTTTAACATTTCTAAGCTTATCAACATACCTACTAATGACATCATCTTTATACTCTACATTAAGCTAGAAGAAAATATACAAGTAATAAAAACTTACATTATTAGAAGCAGATGGGCTCTTTTAGAAATAGCTTTCTTAAATAAAAACAAATAACAGTATGCTTCAGATGGAATTACAATGTTTAAATAAACATTTTTTGAATATGTCATAGTTAATCTTAAGCATACATTCCTTTTCAATTAAATTGAAGAACATACCAATAGGTAATAAAGAAGCCATTAATGAACAGATTAAGAAAGCTTCTTTTTTTTTATTACTAATATTAGCACCTAGAGGTGCATATAATGCTCTTTTATTAAAAACAAATTATTAAGAACATTGTATATATTTATATATATTTTTTGTTTTTTAAGAACAGTTTTTTAAACTGTAATACAGAGTGTATATATCTTTACAAAAACATTTTATTACTATTAAGAATAGGATTCTGCTTGAGAAGTTGCTGTCTTCTCATTTGAAAGAGATGTAAGTGCATCAGATTTCATAAATTATGTTTGTGTACAGTCAGAGAATAACTTGCTTACTTTCATTATTTATAATGTTGCTATAAAAATTTCTTCTATAAAGATTGGACAAGTTACAGTTTGGTTAGTTTTTAGGAGATTGTAGACCTGTTTTCAGATTTTTTTGCTAACTTTGCATTTGAGTATAAAATACTTAGCTGTTTGTAGCTTATTATAACATCAAAGACAGCTTTCTGTAATAGAAGAGCTTATATACTATAATCAGTATCCTAGTAGTAAAGCTTTATGAAAAAGGTATTATAAAATATTTTTTTTCTTGCTAGCTGTTTTTCTAACAAGCATTTAATTGGATTGTTGACTGGAACTAGATAATTTAGGTGCCAGTCTTTTTTTTTAAAATCTTAATGATTTTCTTAACTAAGAGTTCTTTATTATTAAGTTTTTCTATTTTGATATCTTTGAGCTTTCAAGGCCAGTTCATTGTTGCAATAACTTTGCCTTTGGCCTTTTTTTAGACTAAGAGATATAGTTTTTATTTTTTTGGCCAGGCTTTTAATCTAATTATATCTGTTTTTAGTGCCTAATTTATTGATATGTTTCTCTTTTCAAGTAAAGTTTCTGCAATTTTTCTTTTTTATATTTAGCCTATATAAAGTCACTAGTAAGAAGTTTTTTTTATATTAAGATTAGTTTAGTATCTAGCATATCTTCTACTATTGAAGCTTAAAGGCTATTTTGTTCAAGTAATTGTTAGAATATAGAGTATTTAGGCAGCATTTTGAAGTTGTTTTTAATCCAGAATGTTATAAGTTTATTGATTTCTAAAATCTGTTTTTTATTTGGTAAAGTTAGATATGCTGTATACCATATTTATAAGAGTATAAGTGCTTTGGCTAAAAGAATTTTTCCTTTAAAAGAAAAGTTTCAGTTAGATAATTTCTTTAATGTCTTTTTTATTCTAGTGATTGTTGTTTATAGGTTTTTTTTGGAATGCCTTTTGTGTTTACTTTATAACTAAGAAATGTTAGCATCTCATGTTCTGTAGTTTTAGGTAACTGGTGTTATAACACCATGGTGGTGGAATGATTTTAAAAAAGCATAGAATGCAGCTGGCACAAAAGACCAAAATATAAATATTAATATTAAAAATAAAAGAAAGCAAAGCATTAATAAAAAAGCAACTAACTCAAAAAGTTCATATTTCACAGATATTAATTGCTAGGTCTGCAGCTGTTCAGCTTTTCTTAAAAGTTATTTTCTTTTATGTAAATATTTTGTTTTGCAGATTTTAATATGCCCAATGGCCAGCAATAATGATTAATACAAGATAATTTTATATATCATACCATTCCTCTATTTCTTGTTCTAAAAGATTATGGAAGTAATAGAATTATACCTGACACCTCATCTATTGTACCTTTTGAAATAGAAACTAATATCAAAAACATATCTTATAGTATTAATATTGATGAAGATCTAGAAGAAGAAGCCCATTTCTATGTTGAGTCAAATTGGGTATTGTTTGAACAAGCAGTCAACTGAATCAATATTGAAAAATCTGCTAATAATTAGAAATATGTTTGCATAATAATGGAGTATAGTTGATTAGTGCAAATGAAAAAAGAAATGCAAACAGCAGAAAGACAAAAACATTAACAAGTAACTTGGACATTAGCTACTATCAGAAAACTATATCTAGTGTACTTGTTATATCTAGATGAAATAGATAATTCTAAAAATAATGATAATTAGATACTAGTTAAAGTATTTTTGACTAGAGGTTGGATTCAAATTTTATTTTATATATAAATTTAAATTCAAATTAAACTTCAAATTTTTCAAATTCAAATTTAACCTTTATTTCAGACACTATAATTACTGAATGTGTAAAGAAACTAGTTGAATTTATAAATTATTACTTTTTTACTATTAATAATTAACTTTTTTTTAAACAAATATTTAGTATACTTATTAAACCAACTTATCTTTATTTAAAATTACTAATAAATTTTTAAATATTTGTAATAAATAATTTTGTTAAATGTTATTATTATATTTTTTAAATTACTGTAACCTCTAATAATCAACTATTATACTAGAAATACAAAAATTTTAGTACCTTTTTACATTTTTTTATGAATAAATCTAAATAACTTGGCAAGAAATAAAAATTCTAAAGATTCCTAGTTATATTTCAATTCTACAATATTAGCTCTACTAGTACATTAGTAGTTGTTTTATTTTGCAAATAATATCATGATTTCTGCTAACAAAAACAAAAAAAAAAGAAACAGAGAATTTTAATATTATTTTTTAAAACTAACTACTGATGCTAGTATACTAGTAAAGATAATACTATAGAATTAAAATATAATCAAGAATCTTTAAAATTTCTATTTCTTGACAAGTTATTTAAAATTTTAAGATATCTTTATAACACTAAATGTAAATTATAATTAGTGCTGTTAAAAGTCTGATCCTATCTGTTCAGACTTCTCAAATAGGAACTTTGATCAGGACTCGATCTTTGAATAAGTTTGCATATGGGGTCTTTGCTATGAAAATCAAGTTTGGATCATATGATTTACTATGTCCTATAAGGTCATTTTTAAGGCAAAGACCCTATATGATAATACATAATTTACTAATATGTATCATCTTGTATAAGACAGCATAAATTAGCCAATCAAATGACTAATTCTTAGGACAAAAGATATGCAGACTTTTACATTCAGACTTTATCTGAAGTCAACTCTGAGTCAAGCTTTTTAACATCCCTATTGGTTGATAATCATATCTAATCACATAATGTAATGGGTTAGTGAGTCAGAGATGATTGACAAAGTCACATGATCTGTAATTTTCATGATCACCCTAGTGGATTATTAATTTTCTCTAAAGATAGCTTATTTATCACATTTTATCAAACAACATAAGGCAACAGAAAAATGGCTACCTGGCTAGACTATATTTTTATTGAAGCAGAGTACAGCTATCTTGGCAAAAACACATATATACAGCTTGGTAACTCAGATTATTTACTGGTAATAACTGAACTCAGCTTAAAAAACAGTCAAGCCTTTAGATCATCCTAGAAGTTTAATAGAAAACTCTAAAATATCTCAGAATTGAAAGCAGATATTATTAAAGAACTAGAAGAAATACATGATGCAGCAACTGGAACCTACACAAATGCATTATATAGTCAATAGCTAAAGCCTTTAAACACCCACTAGTATCAGAGAAAAAAATTCAAAAAATATACAAAAAGCTGTATAATTTAAACAACAAAATAGCAAGAAATTCTGATTTAAAAGAGCTAAAATTAGTACTAAAAGACTTAGAAATGCAGTTACAAGAAGAGTTGGGTTTCCTCTCAGATAAGTAAAAACAAAGGTCCAATGCTAAATAGATAAAAGAAAGAGAAAAATCAACAAAATACTTTTTCTTATTATACAAAATAAAATACATGATCTCATGCAGCACAAAAATCAAGATTTCAGACTTACTGAATAAAAATACACAAGAACAAACAATGAAATATATAAAAGAATCATACAAGAAAATATATAAAAAAGAAAATATTATTGTAATAGCTGCACAGCAGATTACTGAAAAGCTTACCAAAGTATCTACTCAACAAAACTTCTATTTAGTTAGGCCTATTACTAAAGAAGAAATCAGTCAAATTATTGATATATAAATTCTACAAAGACAAAAAAAACAATATTTCTCATAATAATCAAACTTTTTAATAAAGTATTAGAAACAGAACAAACTCCAACCTTTTAGAACAAGAGCCTTATTATCTTAATCTTCAAAAAATTTAATAATTTGTCTAAAATTGAAAACCAATATCACTCATGAACTTAGATGCAAAAATATTTATAAAGCTACTAGCAAATTAGATTAACCCAATATGTAATAAAATAATTAGATCTATACAACAAGTATTTATTGCCAAAAGATCAATAACAGATGCAGCTTTCGATGTAATAACAACACTTAGAAACCAAAATGATCAGGGTATGATGACTTAGTAAAGTGAATAAGTTGTCAACTCTCCAAGTAGTAGGTTGTGAGTTCAAAACCCACTGATGGTGAAAATTTAAATAATCATCTATAATACATAGACAGTATTATGGCAACAGCTTTCTGTAGATTAGTTGGGATAGAATACCTGTAACTATGGTCACACCAGCATGACTGGCAGTTCACAGAGAATCTGTGTAACCTTGGTTACACAGAGGAATGCAAACTGGTACTAGACAGTGCAAACCTAAAATAAGTCCTTGTGGCTATATAAATTCATAGAACTGGGAAACTTGAAAAGACCTAAGTAAAGAGGTAACACAGATCTTTGATGGTACCACTGTAAAGGCTAGACCTAGGAAACAGATACCAATGTAAAAGAGCCAGATGGGCAAGAACCTCAGATGAGAGGTACCATCAACCAGACCACTGGAACTGAACCGGAGAAAAAGGATATTGGGCTGGCTCGATATACCAAGGACAGGTCACAGTCCTACCAGGCTATCTGGATTGGAAGTCTGGGGTCAAAGCAGAGGTATACTATAAGTACTAGGGATATGCTGTGAAGTAGGTGCTAGGATTTGGGTGAACTCTACAAGGGCTAGCCTTGTTAATGTTCTGTAGAATAAGTAGATAGTTAACAAGGAGGTACCTTAGAATCTTACAGTTAGATAATGTATTTTGAAATATTTAATGGCTTGACAGATGTACAAAAAAAGAAGC